AGCCGAGGCAACTTTGGTGATGACGGACACGTGGCCTTTGGCACCGAGTCAGGGTTTCCTAAATTTCCCCATTTTAAAATATTTAGGTGGCGACTCTGTATCTGGCAAAGCAGTCCATGTTTGGCACTTCTTTTTCTAAAAATCTGTTTTTTCAAAATGATTTGCCGGATTTGGACTCTTTGGTTCAGATTTAGAACCGTGACACAAAATCAAGTCCGAGCTGTAGCGCGGGGTCCCTCGCGGACGTGCTACACCCTATTGTTGAGCTTCTCACTCTAGAACTCTACCTTCTCTCTAGGTATTGATCTAGTAGGAGTGATTTCCTCACCTTTGGCCTTTACAAAAAGGTTGTTGATCGTCGAGGGCTATCTTTTGATCCGAGAAATTCGTGGTTTGGAGCATTTTCGTTTTCTTCACCGTCTTGGTTGGGAGTCATCTTTTGAGGTAGGGATAACCTACTCCTCACTATGGGCTTTGTCTTTAAATCTTAGTATTTTGAGATGTTAGGGTTGGTTTGGTAATTTTGTGAAAGTTTGGGGCCTTTGTGTAAATTTACAAAAGTTGGGGTTTTAACTATCTAAAACCTAGATGCATGTTTGGCATGGAAAAATGAAATTAATGTTGAAACATTGATGAAAATGGAACCTAAGGGTTGTAATGCTAATTATGGAAAATGCCCTAATTGCATTGGTTAATTAATTCGTATAATTAATTATGAGAAATGAGGTATTGATTTGGAAAGGTATGGGATTAAAGGGTGTGGTTGGATTATTTATCACTCACCTAGTTGAAATGTTGATTATATATCCATTGTTGCATTTATTTTCTGTATAGAAATAACTGCTTTGGGCTATCGGTGGAGGATAGTCTTGATTGTTGTAGACAATGCATGATGATTAGACAAACTAAAACTAATCGATTGAATGAGTCATAGTATTTATTTTTATTCAACTTCCATTTAGGGGATGTACTCCACGGTTTAGGGGATGATAGGGGATGGACCTCTATCACCCGAGTGGTTGGGAGAAGATAGGGGATGGACTCCATAGATAGAGCTCATATGCTTATCTAGTAATGTGTTGACATAGCTCATATGCTTGTCTTTGGAAGTGTGATAGTGCTCTTATGCATATCTATGGAAGTGATGATATAGCTTGTATGCTTATCTGTTGATGTGTTGATATAGCTAGTACGCTTATCTAATATGAATTGGGAAGAAGTTTAATATGAGTTACTGTCTCATATAAGTTGTTTGGCCAGGTTCTGAGCCATGGTTATAAATTGAGAATTGAAAAGAATTGGAAAATGGATTGTAACATGGACTTGTATGTCATGAAACCGTAAAGTGTGATAAGGGAAAGTATCAGTGTTGGCCATCTATCAACTGCTAATCTTTTAGTCATTGTTCATATTTGGTTTAGTGTATTTCTACTGGGCTGTGGCTCACCCTATATGAGAATACCATTTTCAGGTACAGGTAGCATGCCACCTCCAAGGACGTAGCTTGGGAGGCTAGAGGCGGGCAGGCTTTTTTGTTGTCTTTTCTCTTTTGATGTGTTACATATGTATTCAAGCCAAGGACTTAATGTGTAAATGAGTTAGCACTCTTTTGTTGTAATCAAGTGTTAACTTGGAAAGCTGTAAGCCTTTAGGGCATTTGCTTTTGTCGTTAACATGTAATACTTTTTGGTAATGGAACTCTGATGAATAGAAGAATGTGGAGCTTTTTATATGTCAATGCATGTCTATATTGATGGGTTTAATGTTATTATTTTGAGGGCGTTACACTGGAACGCCTCAAAGGTTTCTGACTAGACATCTGTTTAGAACAAGTGAACTGAATTTAGCATCCACTGAGAATAGCTAATTTGCTCATATGATAATCAACACAATTAATATAATGAGCAAGTAGATTACGGTGACTTCGAATGGTATGAAATCGAATAAATTGAGCATGTTTAGTAGATTTTTTGGCTAATTTGAGGCAAGCAATATGGTAAGTAGTTTGGTGAATGAGGTTTTTATAATAAGTGACTCGAGTTTTATGGTAAGAAATAAAAGGATCTCCACCATTCATATAAGTATAAAAGCTAGTAAAGACATAGAATGGATGGAACCCTAGAATTGCCGACTCAAGAGAACTCCTTTCGCTGTAGAAGGTTAGAAATCATAGCTTGATTGACTCAAGAACTTCTTCGATCGGTAAGCTTCTTCGTCCAAACAACCACTGACATGTAAACTCATTCATTTTATGGTTTTTTGAACTTCTTTTTTGTAGAAATTGTAGCCCATTTATTCTTCGTTTCAGATTTTTTTCGTTTTGTTTAATAAGCTTCTTTGTTTCAGATCTGTAGAAACCCTAGCCCTTTTGTTTCAGATCGTTTCGTTTCTCATTTATCTCGTGCAATTATAGTCTAGAATGATGGATTGCATTTGCAGAGAAGACCTATTGTGATCGATGAATCTTATGGACTTTGGTTCTATTTGAAGAACAAAATGAATTTAAGGAAATATGTTTGCATTTACTTTATTGCATCTTAGAGCATTTGATGTACCATGTCCCCTTTTTGTTCCAAGTAATAAACTCATTGATACAAGAATCTTTGTCGATAGAAATTGATAATCTTAGAAGGAAAATGTTTTATTTTCTTCATGAAATTTCTTTATCGATAGAAATTGGCTCTTATTGATATGAGAATCCATCAAGGATAATATGTGCTATAATCATTAAAGACGAGTGAAGCTCTTCCAGCTACACACACCAGCACATGCATATTTGCACACACATATGCCCTCCAAATAGTTTTGGAAAATGAACTTTTATTGTATTTTTCGATTTCTTTAAATAAATGAGATTTGAGTGTCATATTCATGGTACGTTTGAGTATTTGGTTTTTCATCTAATAAATGTTTTTGCTTATTATCCAAGTTCTTTGAGATTTGTTTTATGACATGGTACAAAACAATTTTGATTTGATACATGATACAGTAGGCTACCATTTGACAACTCTTTGTGTCTGTAACTAGAAAGAACTTTGTCCAAGGTCCGAAGTAGTTTAATTTGAGTTATTGTGCATATATTAAGCTTTTCTCCTTGGAAAGATGTAAGCCCTTAGGGCATTTATTTTGATGTTGCAGGATGTTACAAGTAATGTCTGTCAATAAGAATACTCTGATGACTAACTCAAATGATTCGTTTTCTTTTATAAATGCATGTTGATGTTATGGCTATTATGGGTGTATTTTGAGGGCGTTACAGGAACACCCTAAAATAGCCAAAAAGTCGCAACAAAAAAGTCGACTCTTCTCTGTACTTTCCTGGGAACCTGAGTTAAGAATCTATTAGATCACGTGCTTATCATTCAAAATAATATTTCATTGATTTAAGTTTAAATATTTCATGTTAAGAAAAAGTGATCGAATCTTTACAATTAATAATTAGATTTGATTCGCTATTTGGTACTAGGCCATTTTGATTCACAACTCGAATTCTGATTTGACAACTATCATACTTCCAATCTAGTTAACTCTTAATTATGATTTGTCTATCTAATAGTTATACATATGCATGTTTTTTTATATGTGCATCTACCATAGGTTATGGTTTTTGTTTTTGTTTGAATGTTTGGGTCTCAAAATGCAGTAGCAACAGACCAATGTGGTTTTACTGGCAGGCTTGTGAATGATTTTGATTTATGGCATTTTGGAATATATTTTGTGCTTGATTCGGTTGAGTTGTAGTTGGCTATGAATGTTTGTTGCACAAAGAAGCTTAACTTTTACTTCATTCAATGTTGTGCTTTTCTCAACTGAGAGAACTGCTATATATTTCTGCTGTTCAAAAAAATTTGTTTTATATATTTCTTCTGTTCAAAAAAATGCTGAAAATCAGTGAATTATAAGCTGAAAAAATGCTAAAAATTTGTAAAGTCTAAACAGACAAACTGATCGCATCCTTCCACATCCGCCAACTAGGCGGACAGATATGGATTGATTTTTTCCAATCCCCCAATTTATGAGTGGATGTTGGATGGGATGCCACCCGACCCAACCTGAACTGTGAGCACCCCTAATATATATGATGAAATTCACACTTGATGAATCTCAATTACACAGTACTTTTTCTAGTCATTTTGCTGGTTACGTTTTATATTAAATGATGAAATCGCAGCAAATTTTTTTAAAAGGAAGTACAAGGCACAAGTTATCCAATTTTTACCATGTTAGTGAGGTACAAAAAGTTTCAAGGAATTGTGTTTATTTATTTATTTTTTGATAGGTAAAATTAAATTATATTAGAGAAAGTGCCAAGGGGGCAACAATACTAATTCTATATTTTATATTTACATGTTTATGACTACTTCCGTTTTGTTTTTTTTGTTTTTTTGTTTTTTCTTTTATAGATATATGATGGAGATATACTCGTGGAGCAAGATATATTTTGAAATAGACTATTGAATAGTAATATGTAATCAAACACTTGTATTTTGACATTTATATTGTGCTTGAATAATTGGGTTGGATTTTTTTGGATATTTAGATATGTTTTGTTGAATGGATTAGAAACTTGTTTTTGCTGAATGAATTTGGTTTATATTTTGGATTAGTTGATGGATTTTTATTTGTTAATTAAATTCAAAGGTTAAATGAATGTGATTTGAATTTTGCATTGGTGAATATGCAACAAATATTAGTGTCGCTAAAAGTAACAACTGGCAACAAATTATTGTGTCGCTAAAGGTAACTTTTGGCAACAAATAGTGTCACTGCTTGTTTGACTTTTGGCGACAAATTTCAAAATTTGTTGCCAAACTTTCCGCAACAATCTTTTGGCCTCAACCTTGGTGACAATTTTGTGATTGTTGCAAAAAACTTTTAGCAACAAAATTTTGACTTTTGGTGACAATTTTATATATTGCGAAAAGTGATTTTTTTTGTAGTCGAAACAAGATTTCATTTGGGAATTGAAGGAGAGAGAGACCGACAAGGTTGCTCTACACATGGCAGGTATATACATATACATTCCTTATACATTCATACGCCCACCCATTCTATTCGTCACATGTTACTGAATACCCTGAAATTAATGTTTGCTTTACAATTTTTCATTACTTATATATATATATTGTATATATGAGTAGTAGGTTAAGATCACATAAATGTTTTGATTACATACATGCTAGGAAGCTATGTTACATGGACTTGAGTATTGGTGTCGGGTGCAGGTATGTATCTAGAGGTCGGACTCATCAAACTATAAATTTAAGGGTATGCTTACTCGGCAAAAAAATGTCTAATTTTTATATTTTCAATCAAGTATGTAAAATAAAATAGTGTGATATGTAAATTACAATGTCAAAAAGACATTTATAACAATTATACAACAATATGTATATATAATAGTAGTGTCATAGACAATTATATAAGAAGTATCCGTTGAAAAGTATCCAACGTATATTCCATACCCTTATCCAAGTGTTTGATATGGGTATTTGATTTATTTGAAGAGTCAGCATAACATAGCTAGGAAGCACAGATATAGATACGGGAAACAGATATGGCGATATGACAAACCCTAAAAAAAAGGATATGCATACGACTAGGATATGTTTGTAAAAATATATTTTTTAAAATTATTAGTAGTGAGCTACACATAAGCTAAAGAATGTTGATAAACCACAATGCAATTTTATAATGCAAAACATTGACATTTAAGAATTATGTATTAATTTAACCTACTAGCTTGCTTACCTTCTAAATTTTCAATTAGTCTTGCAAACATTTCATTTCAATATCAAGTCTAATATGTTTACATTAATAGAACAATCTACAACTTGTCCATGTGCTTTTCCATTTGGCACTAGTAAAAAATATTGTATTAAAGTTTACTTCCTTATTTAATTATTGATATTTAATTTTACTATTGTTATATTCTCTTGTTAATCCTTACTTTCTATGTAATTATAGGGGACATGCATGAAACAATTAGGATACATCAATTTGACAAATTCTATTATTAACTCACTATGTTCTTTTTATCAAAGAACTAAACAAAGTATTAAAAAAATATTCTTATGTTTATTCTTGCAATTATATTATATTATAATAGTATACAAGAAATGCTACAATTCTAATTTTGTAAAACAAGTGATACATGACTTGGAGTATCCGATACTTCAAAATTAAGTATTCGATACTCCAAAATTAATAAAAATTCAATTAATAAGTATTTGATACGTATCAACGAGTATCCAAGGAGTATCAGTGTCCAATACAGATATGTCACCCTATTTGAAGTATTCGTGCTTCATAGCATACATGTCTACATTTATTCATACATGAACAATGCTACTATGCACCTCTTCTATTAGAAAGTTTTGAATTTTTATGATACAAGTTTTGAATCAACGATTTTATGGTGTGTACTTCGCAACTGGAAGTTACAAATTATTTTAGTTATGTTATGAACCATATAATATAAATATCCTAGTGTTTGTCACGAAATTTATGATTATATTTGTACGGGGAGCAAATATTCAGGCAAGCCCGTACTCCCTTCTTCCAAGCTCCGCTTCTATCCGATCACCTGCGTACACAAAGGCGGTGAGCTACCCGGCGGTGTGTGGCCGGAAAACCCCTCCGACGGTCAAGTTAGAACACACACTAGGGGATAGATAGAGAGAAGGGAGAGAATTGTGTTTAGTGTTTATCTCACCAAAAAATGTCCTGTGTCCAGCGTGGGGGCGCAGACTTGCTTATATACCTTCTGCGCCCCAAATCTACTCCCAGTGATCTCTCGACACGTGGTTCTGCTATCCTATCTGTTAGCACAAATCTTGCTGAGCATCACCTAACCCAATTGCCAGCCTACTCTACTGGGAGCTCGGCAGCCGGGCAACATTATCTCGGCTACCAATGGCCATACTCACTTCAAGCCCAAGCGCACTTGACAGCGTAATGCTCCTCCAACCGGGCTCATTTCTAGCCGTGCTCGACTGCATTCCAACGAAGCCGAGATGGAGGTTGATCAACTTGGTCGTGCCGGGCTGAGGGCGCGTGTATTACAACCGAGCAACGCGCGAGCTGTGGAACCGTTACCTGACTGAACCTTAACCTGCTCGGTCTCCGTGCCAACGAAATCAGGTAGCTCGGTTCCACAAGGCCTTTGCCATTACCGAGCAAGATCACGGCCCAATCTCGGAGCCCAATACCTCGGCCCAACCTCGTTCGGCCCAATCTATCTGGCTAATTCCACGGCCCAATGTCAGATCATTAATCTCCCTTTCAATATTACATATGAACCATATAATATAAATGTTATAAGCCATTTGTAGAATCATTTTGGTTAGGAAAGTTACGATATATTCTAGTGTTTGTCACGAAATTTATGATTATATTACATATGTTGTCCACTGTCTGCACAAGAATTTTTTTACCGCTACGATTCATTTTTTTTTATTATTTATTTTAATCTAAAGTGCTCTTCAATGTTTGTTATTTATTATGATTCATATTCTTTTTTTTGTTTTATAGCTAATTTGGGTTCTCAGCTTCAAGACACACTAGTGGTTTTTGACCTCGACGAGTTGCGTTTTTTTACTGAGGATTTCAGCCATGAGTTAGGTCAGGGTGGATTTGGAAAAGTGTACAAAGGAAAAATTTCTGAACAAAATATCAATCAGCTAGCCAAACAAGAGATTGCTGTCAAAGTATCCAAGGACAGACAAAGTGAAACCAGGAAGATGTGGATGGTATGTGTTTTAATATTGTTTTCATCATTATTTCAACTTGGTTATGTTGTTCTAATATTGTTTATATTGATTGACAGGCTAAGGTGCAATTCTTGTCCATGTGCAGTCACCCCAATGTGATCAGGTTGATTGGCTATGCGGAGGACGCTGATAACGACAAATTGTTGCTCGTATATCCATTTTGCCCCCTTGGCTCGCTCCATGACAATTTGGATGGTATTTCATTATCATTATTCACAATTTTTACCTACAATATTTTGCCCTCTCTCACATATTGGCACATCTAGTGTGTTCTCACTAAGGGCATCTTTATGGATTGAATGGTGTATATGGGAGAAGAGGGTGTGGGGATGGTGAACTGAAAAAGGAGCCAATAATTCAAGAGTGGTGATTTTCGTGGCTTAATTGTTCATATTCAATTAAAGTGTCATGTTGAAAGGGGTGTGTACATACATACTAAATTTTTTATTTTGAATATTATTTTAATAAGTTTGTAATATTTTGAATATTAATACACTTTACCATCATTTTGTTGAGACAATGAATATATTGTGATGCATGGTGTAGCGACCCTAATTTTCTTTAGTCATTATTTATTATTATTATGGTTATTATTATCTTATTTTATTTTTGAGTTTATTAATTGTGTGGTCACATGAGAGTTAATGTGATATTTAATGGATTTAATGTTGTAATTATTAATTGGGTGGTTACATGAGATTTAATGTGATATTTAATGGATTTAATGATGTAATTATTAATTGGGTGGCTACATAAGGTTTAATGTGATATCTAAGGTATTTAATGTTGTAATTAATAAATTTACTACATACTATAGTTTATTAAGCTATTATATATTGAGATTTAGGTTTATAGTATAATATTATTAGGTTATACTAGCTCTTGGGTTATTATATATATAATAACATAGAAGTATTAAACTAGGTTTAGGAGATCAAAAGGAAAAGAGACGACCAAGTTGTGAGAGAGAGAGAGAGAAATCAAAGAAGACAAAGAAAGGGGCGGCAGCAAGGAAAAAAGAGGAGAGGGAAGAAAAGGAAAGATTAGGGTTTTGTTTTGGTGACTCTAATAGTTTTCTAAATATTCTTTTATCTTCAATAAAGTATTGTGAGTACAAAACCCACTTCCCTTGATTTATATTTAATTCTTGTTTTTATCTATTTGTTTGATATTAGTTTGATTTTGTGTTTACATAAAGACGATAGATTAATTTTAATTATTTTAACTAGTGGTGTATGTAAAGTTTAGGGTTCTTAGATAATTGACTGATTTTAATTATTTTGTTTAGTTGTGTATGTAAGGTTTAGGGTTTTTATTGATTGAATTTAATTATTTTGATTAGTTGGGTATGTCAAATTTAGGATTTTTATATGGATTTATTTTATTGTTGTAATCACACTCATGGTTATATGAAATTTAAAATTAATTAGGAACCCATAGATAAATTCCTTATACTCCACCATGACTCCATGGATTGTTGTTTTATTTGAGTGATGGTGAGAAAGAGTGATAAAAAAAAAGTGAGGATTATGAGATTTATTTGAATGCCTTAGGCTCAGCATTGTTATGTTTATTCTCATGTGTGAGATGTTGTGTATATATATATTGTTGCCTCGTTCTCATGAGTAAACGGGTGCTTTGATTTGCGCGCGTACGTATATGCTAACCATTCGGGGAGTGTGAGTCTAACTCGGGACGATATCCCCGTGCAAGTTTGGCTTCGGAGCGGTGTTAGGTATACGGGTGACACATGGGATATATGTGTAGGCCGGAAGGGGAGAGCCGAAGTGGTGGAGTTAAGGTACAAAAAATTTAATTATGAATTTATTAGTATAGTGTGTACGGTACTGTTATGTACATGATAAAAAAAAATAGTAAACGATCTTGATAAATTATGAAATTTGAGCAGAGGCATGTATACGTGATTTTGGACAACTTTTGTGTTGTACCTTTTTATTAAAAAGATCGATTAGAACTTATAATCTGATGACCTTGGTTATTGTCGGTTTGATTCATTTTGGTAATGCAGATTTATAGGCTGTTTTAACCCACAAAACGAGCTCATTTTTATTGATTTCATGTAAATTTAAGTAAAACATTATTCTGCACACTTTTTGTGTTTTGAAATTTTTCGAAAAAAATCATCTTAGGGCAGTTTTTTGTTCATTTTCAGCTTCAGATTTTTCGATTGAATTCTGTCTAGATTTTTATATCAAGTTTTCTCTTAACCTGTTTAGTTTTTGTTAAATTCATTCATGTTGTCTTTTAGGAAATTTGATTCTGTACAACTTTCGTTCTTTGAGTTTTGGTGAATTCGAATTATTTAAGTATGAAACGGTATAATTTTATATTTTTTTTCAGCAAGTTACTTATGATTAAATTATACCAACGTTATTTGTTTTGCAGGATGGTGGGTCTTACTAACTTTTTATGCAGGGCTGACCCACCATATTTTTATTTCTATTTTGTCTATTTTATAATCAATTTATATTTCGTTGTGTACGGACAAGAAGCTAAATGCCACCGTATCTCGGGAAACTACCCATTCGTCTTGGTGCGGTTGGAACTACTTGTCTTGTTCCGTAGTAAGAATTTAATGTATTTTGGTTTGCGTCTGGTAGCCACATGGGTGTTAAATCTTGTACTCATACCAGTATACCTGTATACTGACCCGTTTTGTCTCTTGGCAACTCGGGTGTGTTCTGTTTGAGCGCAACTGAGCTTCCTTTGCAGGATTAGTTGGGGCTACGGTGGTGACGTGGATTTACGATAGTGTTAGACCTGTCGTTTGGACTTCTTTTGTTTTATTGAGCTTAGGATTGATATTAGTCTATGTATTTATTATTCTCTTTATAACTTTAGTATTGGAATAATTTAAAATGGTTTGTAACCGTACTTTATTTAAGTTGTTTTGACTAGTTGTTGGCACTAAATGTTGAGGTATTTGTTAGTAATGAGATTATGGTGGATGGTTTAGTTGGCGTTTTAGTTTTTTGTTTCACCCCTAGGATTTGGATGATGGAATATTGATTGGGGTTTAGTCCTAATTTAATATTTAATTGTCCAAATTTTGGGGCGTGATACATGGATTGTCAACTGATGGAAGACATTGAGCTAGGTGGGTTTTAGTTTGCGTACTAGAAACCATACTGTGGATAATTGGATGCTTGTTTTTTCCTCTCTTGTGTATCTCCTCTTTAGTTTCCAACAATCGAAGTCTTATATTCTGTTGGTGAAAAATCTTACTATTTGTTCTATGTTTTGCCCATCTATTTATCAAGCAATTCTTTCCCTGCCTATTTCCTAGGTTGGAGCCTTCCCAGGGTGATTTGACCCTTCGCTAGCTCTTGTGACTTTTTAAGTTGAATTTGCATACTATTTTCTATCTCAATAGCTTTTTGATTTCGCATTGGTTACCTTTGACGGTCCGTGCTAGTTAAGAGATGTTCTCCAATTTCTAAATGTCTCTTATATGGGCTTGCTCCAGAATCCTTTGAACATCTATTCCTTGTTTTGCTTGGTTAAACCAGTTTAATTTGCTTCTCATGGAATATTCCGACCAGATTAATTTTAGGGAATGGCTTATTGTCTAGTTTGTAGCAGGAAGAAGATTCACTAGGTTTCTGTTATTATTTTATTTCTATTCCTCGGTCCATTTGGTATGTGCATAACAGAGGTGATGTTTGACTTGTGCTCTTCCTTTTGTCCATTCCTCAATCATGCCTCTTCTCTCTCTCTCTTGGATGTTTCTTCATTCTAATCTTATTCAAGCCTATTCATTCCTCCGTGGGATCATTTTTCTCGTTTTCTTTCTCTCTCTTTCTCGTTCCCATTGTGATTAGCCTCGCTTTTGCATCTATCTTGCCAGTGTTTCTAAATTGAATCATCATTCTTCCGGGATTGTCTTCACTGTTATGAGATGTTGGTGCTTTTGCTTATGTCCTGCCTGCTTATATATTGGCAAAGTGTCCCAGCTCTTAGGTAACCTCTCACTCCTTTCATGTTCATTTTTTTTACCAATGCTATTTCTTTATATGAACACTTGGCAGGGTATAGGATCTTAGTTGCATTTTCTGTTCCAATATATTTTTATTTTTTCTGAGCTTACTCTACAAGAAATGCAATAAGCTTTTGCCTAGCTAATTTTGCTTCTAGTTCAAGAATCCCATATTCGGGGAATTTTTTGTTGTCTAGGCTTTAGCTTTATTCTCTTAATACGATACAAATATAGTGAGGCCTAGGCATTTTCTGAGATGTACCTGCAATCTTATATATTATACAAATATAGTGAGGCTTCTTATGCTTTCAATCTCCCATTCCTAATTTCTCAAAATTTTCAGAATTTTAAAAGCCCATGTGGCACCTTCTTTTTCTCATCCTTTACCCTTTCTTTTCTCCCATCCATGGCCATGCATTCCTTTTTCCTTATTTTATTTTATTTTATACTCTTTGCTCTTCTAATTATTTACAACTCCAACTTTATATCTCCTAATTGTCTACACAATTTCTTATTGCTCAGTTTGATTTCTACAACCCAAACCCCCCCCAACACACACACACACACACAAAAAAAAAAGAAAAAAAGAAGAAGAGAAATTTGCATGGATTCAAGTCTCTCTATTGCCTCCTGTGTGTCCCTCAGCCCCCAAAATTTCCAATTCTCCTACATCTTGTGCATGTCAATCCATGTCTTATGTGTTGTTTTCGTGAATCAATGATCTGTTTTTCTTCACGAATTTTAAATCTATGGTAAATTACAAATATACCTTATGAGCTTTGATTAAAATACGAATCGCCCCCTGTAGTTTTGAAAATTACATTCAGCCCCTGACATTTCTAATTTTATAACAAATCATCCATTTTATTAATAAATCATCAAGTCAATTAACAGTATTTAATGATATTAAAAATATGTTTCAATTAATAATTTAGTTAATTTTATTATTGTATATTAGAGCAATTATGAATTTCATTTTTTAGTTAATTCCGTTAAGTAAAAAATTCTAATAAGGGGGTATTTGTAATTTTTCAAACCATAGGAGGCAATCTATATTTTAAGCAAACCTTAGGGGGTGTATTTGTAATTTACCCTTTAATCTATTATTTTTGCTGACATTAGTTTTGGGGTTACAATATGGGTTTAAGTGTTCATAATCAGGTTGTGGCCTTAACCTCTCAAGGGGCACGTTATAGGATGGAAAATTGGAATGGGTTTCGATACTCTCATGGCTTCTTGGCATTATTTGAGTTTGGGTCATTAGAATTCAAATTTAAAATTGGGCTTCATACATTTGTAGTGTCTAGGCTAATCTTTGATTGGATATGTATTTAAACACTCAAAGTTAGAATGATGAGTTTGGATATGCATTAAAACACTATTTGGATATGTATTTAAATACTCTATTTACTTCCAATATGTTGATTTTGGATATGTATTTTTTAAACACTCTATTTACTTGCAGAATGTTGACTGGATATGTATTTAAACACTGTTTTGCAATCCTTTCGTTTGATTGTTGGTCTTTTAAAGGGTCCAAAACCTTAAATAGAATATTACATTTCATGTGTAGATATGGTTCCAATTAGTTATCACTACAACAAAAAGCAGTTTTGGCGACCAAAAATGTAAATTTCGTCGTTGAAAATAGGACAATTGGCGACTAAAATTGAATTAGTAGCCAAAAGTGAAGACTTTTGGCGACTAAAACAGTTTAGTAGCCAAATGTGTACTTATTGGCGACTAAAAATCAGATCAGTCGCTGATTACATGGGTTTTAGCGACTAAAACAATTTTAGTAGCCAAAGGTGAAGGTTTTTGGCGACTAAAAAAGATTAGTAGCCAAAAGTATAGGCTTTGGCGACTAAAAAATGGTTTGGTCGCCGATTGTAGGTGTTTTACTGACAAAAAAAAAATGTTGTAGCCAAATGTAAAGGTTTTTGGCTACTAAAAGATTTTTAGTAGCTAAAAGTGGACAATTGGCGACTAAAATTGAGTTTAGTCGGCAAAAGTGGCGGTTTTGGCGACTAAAAATCAGTTTAGTTGCTGAAAGTGGTTATTTTTAGACGGAAATTAATTTTCTTAGCGACTAAATTATTGGTAGTAGCCAAAACTAAGGTTTTTGGCGACTAAAAAAAACTTTAGTCGCCAAAAGTGGCTCCCTTTTTTTTTTAATAATTAATTTATTTTTTACATAAATTAATATTGAATAAAAATAATTATATTTATATAAATAGTTTTAAATTAATACGGGTCAATATACTATATAAATAATATATATTGCATATATATTCTTGTGATCTTGTGGTGGCATAGTGGAGGGAGTGTGTTGGTAAAGGTGTACAAAGTAGAAGGTCCGTGGTTCGAATCTCAGAAAAAGCAAAAAAGTTGGTAATTTTTTTTTTCACAGAAGCACCTTTGGCGACTAAAATTATTTGTCGCCAAAAGTCTTTATTTTGGCGACTAAAGGATTAGTCGCTAAATGTATGATTTTGAAAAGAGTAAATCACTATTGGCGACTAAAATGTTGGTCGCGAAAGAGCTGCTTTTTGGCGACTAAAAAAGTTTTAGTCGCCAATACCTCTGCCGACCATCTATACGCGACAAAACCAGTGACTAAAAAAATTAGTCGGGGAAAGTAAAAAGTCGACTTTTGGCGACTAAAAACGGACTTTTGGCGACTAAAAATTTAGTCGCCAAAGGTGCTTTTTCTTGTACTGTATGTTCACTATTATGCATCTTCTTCCTTAGGTGCCTCATAGCTACAAAATGTTGAGTTTAGATATGTATTTTTTAAACACTCTATTTACTTATAAAATGTTAACTGGATAAGTATTTAAACACCGTTTCCCAATCCTTCGATTTGCTTGTTTGTCTTTTTTTATTTTTATTTTTTTTAAAAGGGTCCAAAACCATAAATAGAATATTAAATTTCATGTATAGCGATGGTTCCAATTAGTTGTTTTCACTATTCAATATTAGATGCATCTTCTTTCTTAGGTGCCTCGTACCTAGAAAATATTGAGTTTGGATATGTATTTTTTAAATACTCTATTTACTTACAGAATGTTAACTGGATATGTATTTAAACACCGTTTTTCAATCCGTTGGTTTGATTGTTTGTCTTTTAAAGGGTCCAAAACCATAAATAGAATATTACATTTCATGTGTAGAGATGGTTCAAATTAGTCATGTTCACCACTCAATATTAGATGCATCTTCTTCCTTAGGTGCCTCATACCTCTTTATAACATTTTCATTTTTTTTTTCAAATTTACATTCCTTTATTGAGGTAATTATCTCTTGTAGCCTTGTACTCTTGTTTTATACAAGGGCTTGGTCTAATCTAAAACAGTTAAAATCCTTTGGTTATAGGCCTGGGCTGCATCATGTTTTGTTTTCAAATTAATGTCAAAAGCAAAATAAGATCCTTTGGTTTATGGTCCTGCATTTGTAACCCACAATTTAGGCAAGAGATCTTTTGTTTCTTTTGTTAATGACAAATAAACAGTTGACTTCTATTAAAGAAAGACTTGTGCTTTCTTCAAATCTTGCTTTTCATTAGAAGAATAGAAATGAAGTGTATGTATCTTCATTATAAGTTCACAATAACGAGCAACTATTGTGTCAAATACTCTTTCATTCATATTTATTATTGGTTTTAAGCTTGCTTACAAACATAGAACCCATTTATTATGCAATTCTCCATTTGAGTTTTTACGTGTACAACTGCTCTTTTGTTTTCTTTTTCTATTGTTTTTTATTTTTCATAATTTTCTTGCCATTTGATGATTATGACAATGATATAAGGACTTGTTTGGAACCACTTATAATCTATTTTTTTTTTCAATTTATTTGAAACCCTTAAATTATGTAGACAAAAAAAAAAAAAAAAAACCCTCATGTGATGTAATGTAAAAATATCATACCCTCTCTTCTTTAGGCCGCGACAATTTGCCAATCTATTTGTAAAAATTATCTAGATAATTGATTTGTAAAATTGTAGCATGCACTTGGATATCTAATCTTTTTTAATGTTAATTGTCGCATATCTGAGTTTTTACATTTAAATTTTATTAAACAAGACTTTTGAGGGTGTAATAGATATCTGTACTACAAAAAAAAAAAAATTTATAGGCAACTTATTTAACCAAACAAGTTCAATTATTTTTGCAGATTATCAGAAGCTACAATAAACATATTTATAACTTCATTTAAAATTTTTAAGCTAAAAATTTATAAAGCTATGACTTATAAGTGATATCAAACAAGACCATGTCGAAACACTCATTTTTTTAATATACATATTCTAACCTTACACTAATAATTGGTTGTTGTACAATTTTAGAATGGGCTCAAGTGCAGAAGATTATGAGAGGCATTGCATCTGGCTTGGACCACATTCATATGCGTGCTACTCCTGCCATTATACATGGAGATCTTAAACCCGACAATATTTTGTTGGGCTAGGTACATTAGCTTTGATTTGAAACCTTTCCACAATACTCCTATGAAAAAGGAATAGTAAAAATTGATAGTTTCCTTTTAAGCTAGCTCCTAACTTTCAAAACAAATAAAAATAAATAAATAAATAAATAAGAAATAAAGAATAAAGAATTTTGATGTACAGGATGACTTTGCCATAATTTGTGACTCTGGGTCAATAATTCGAGCAGGAGATCAACATCAAAGTGGCACAATGGGATATATGTATCCAGCTACTCGAGGTACCATGAAGTAATTTCTTTTAGTTATTTCATTTTTGATAACGCACAATAGATAATATTACTTATAAATATGTCATATCCAATACCACATCAGTTATTTCATTACTTCACCTAGACAGAATATAGACACTACTATGGTTTCATATAAATCACAACTTATCATATCAGTAATTGAATCATGAATCAAAATTTTAATTTTACAAATTGTAAGTCAAATAGTCGTAAAATTCAACATGGATTACAATATAAATAATAATATTATGTTGATCAATCACATATATATTTAAAAAATTAATTAATTTTCATACATATTATGTTATATAAAGGCATGATTACATCATCTAATGGAATCACTGGATTTAACTTTCCTGACCTAAATCATATTAAACCATGTTTGTTTTATAGATGCAAGTTAGTTCAAAAACATAATGTATTTTAACATTTTTTTTTTATTTGAACTCATGATTTTAAATGACAGTATCGAGGTATGTATCAATCAGTATTTGTCAATACATCATTGATAATAACAATATCGGAATTCTCCGATTCTAATATATAATGGCTAATATTTAAACCTTTGCTTGACTTGATCTAATTGAATCCTATCAAACCAAAATAATAACAAATCATGCATAAATGTTAATTATTTTTGTACTACACTCATAGAAGTTAAATTATGACATTTTCTCCCCCTCAAAAAATAAGGAAAATAGGGATAAAAATTTGGCAAACCCAATAATTTCAAGACACAATAAATTGTAAAACATGAATCAAATAGTGAATCGTGTGATTAACCATCGATTTTAATATCAGAACAAATTCATCAATAAATTCGTATAGATTTATGCACAAATCATGAATTGAATAGTGAATCGTACGATTCTAACAACAAATACATAATTACATGAAGTATAACGTTTTTATCTTATTCCTTAACATGATTACAACTTTTCATCAACTCATAGAAGACTAATATAATATATATATTAAAAAGGCTATTATAAAACTTAGCACAATGCCATGTTCATAATTTGTCAAATTCAACTTTGTACTAACCTCTCAGCGGCATGGTTCATTTTTTCAACTAGAATACTAAAATATTTCAGCATAAAAACCATGTAGGTGTAACTTCAAAATCTAGTTCGAAGAGCACTTTTCAAAACTTCACTTTGTATTAATGTACAATAACCTTGCAAATATACATATGCATACACATGCACACATCTTAATACCTTCTAAGCAATGGTTCTCTCTTCTATTGTCGTTCTATATTTGCAACTTACCATTGATACAAATCTAAATGCCTCTTAACAACAATTGTTAGTAGCACTGGGGAAGAAAATAATTGAAAGGAGAAAACATCACATACGATTGATATTAAAATGAAGAAAAGAAAAAGATAAACTATGGACTACACTTGCAAATGGTAAGATTTTTAATGTAAAAATAATAATACGAAACTGAGTGCACCTACTTACCACTAGAGAAGGGGGGGTGTTTGGGGTTAACCTAATTAGGGAGTGAGGAGAAAAGTGTTAATGAGAAACCTCAAAATCAAAAAACATTCAGAACCAAATTAGAATACTATTTTACTGAAATTTCCAACATATGCATATATATTTCCCCTTCTTAATTATGAATTTTTAAAACAAATATTTTCCACATGTCTATTCTTGTTAATATAGCAAACTATAAAAAGCCCTATCTACTTTCTTTTTCATTGTAGAGTTTGTCAAGCCAATGATTGACATTTAAAGCTTAGGCGTCACCTTATTGCAGTTTGTGACAAAAAAACCGTATTCTCACAAAAACAGAAAGCACTTGGAAAACATAATCAATGAAGAGCCTAAGTTGAAAAATTTGATCGACAAAAGTTTGCTAAGCTCGGGATGTTCAAAGAAGAAAGGCAAAAAAACTATTAGACTGACACTTGATTGTCTCCATGGCAATAGGCTAGATGCATTAGAAGTTGTTCAGGAATTGGATAAATTTTTTAGAAAGAATAGGTTTAGGTATACAAACAACCTCAAATGCTTTACAGTTTGTATTGGCAATCGGGCTAGACTGTGTTAGTAAGGCTTTTATGACTCAAGGAGAGTGAGGGAAACAACTTTATCATGATTACAATTTATATATATGTTGCTGGAGCATACATTTTACACTTTACTATTCTTTTTGAAATATGTATATACAAAAGTTTGTCTCGTAATTATACTTTATGTAAGATGCTAACTTTAGTATATTATTTAAAATGCAAAAATCAAATCTTTTACTCAACACAACTGCATATGTTAGGTTGAGGATGACAAAAGTTTGCTAGGGTTTGCAACATAGAGGGGTTTGTTTTGTCTAGAATTCAGGTTCTAAGAAAACCAAAATAAGAGAAAGATTAGCACTGAGTTCATAGATATGATGTTTGTAACACCTCCAAAATAATACAAATAATCCAACCTATAAAAGAAATGAATATAACATAATTGGTACACTTTGATATAACATAGTTTGTATTACAGAAGGGATTACATGCATTATACATTCATAAACGTTTATCCTGAATCTACAACATATAATACAAGTTAATAATAACAAAATAATCTTCTTTATCTGCATAACTCTTCTGGCGATCTTAAGCTACCACCAATCTTTGTCGAATAAGTTTCACCTTTTCTGTAGTTTCTTTATTCTGTTCCACCAGTATTGGTGTTTTAAGTCTTGGTACACTTTCATCCCTCCTGTGTGCACTGTAAACACCGAATGATGGAACTTTTTCAAAACTTTTTCTCTAAGTGACTCATCTTATGGCACAAATACGCTACCTTGATGTCTCAAACTTCTATCCAAATGAATCGTCCAATCAAGTACAGGATCACCAGATGCTATTCGCGCTTTTATGCACGCCACCTCCTGATCATACTTCTGTGACTCTATTACCTCATTCAGTAATTTAGGCATAGCGATTTGAGCACCAAGGTATACCTTCTCGTCGTAAGCTTTCATCTGTACTCCGAACTCATTAAGTGTTCCGACGATGTTCCATTCCTTGAGTGCCAGACTAACAATAATCCTCTGGTTCTTGCAACTTAGGGCATCTGCCACCACATTAGCTTTGCTAGGATAATAAGATACAGTAAAATGGTAATGTTCGAGATGTTCCATCCACCGTCTTTATCTCATCTTCAAGTCCTTCTGTGTGAACAAATACTTCAAGCTCTTATGATCCGTGAAAATCTCAAACTATTCACCATATTAACGCCATTGCTTTAGCAAAAAAAACCATCTCTGCCAACTCCAGATCATGTGTCGAATAATTCCTTTCATGCGGTTTCAGTTACGTGGAGCCGTAAGCCACCACCTTTCCATTTTGCAGTAACACACAGCCCAACTCATCCTTAGATGCATCGCAATACATTATATATCCTTCGTCTTGCTCTAAACTGATGAGTATTGGGCACTAGTCAATCTCCTCTTGAGTTTTTGAAAGGATCATTCACATGCTTCATCCCAATCATATTTTACCCCTTTTCTTGCGTTAGACGAGTCATCGGCTTTGCCAATCTAAAAAAAAAAATCTTGAATAAACCTCGATAATAACCGGCCAATCCTAAGAAACTATGAACATCAAGTACTGAGGTTGGATGCTTCCAATCTAATATTACTTTTATTTTGGCCGGGTCCACTCCAATCCTATTCTCAGACACTACGTGTCCCAAAATTTGACTTCCTTCAACCAAAACTCGCAGCAAGTTGATTATGCCACCTCATTGTCATGCTCAAACCCTCCTCTCTATCCCCCTTAAATTGGAAATGCCTCCCATCAGGTGTGTAAGTCGTCACCCTCTTCTAGTAGCAGTCAATCACTGTTCAATGGGCAGATAGCCATTCCATACCTAAGATTATGTCAAAATTGAATATGTCCCTGACCGCAAGGTCACAAATCAAGTGTAAAACTGACACTTCTAATTCACATTGACACTTCCTCCCAAAGGTGATACGATACTTAAAGTAGTTTTAAAGGTTCACATGTAAGACCTAAAGATTTAACACATGATATTTTTATAATTAAAAAAAATGGTGCGCCATAATCGGATAGAGCGGAACCCAAGAATTATAGAGTGTGATGTTATCTCTAATTACTAACGGGTCTTCGTCCTCTTCCTTTGATCATAGGGTCTTGCTCCCATTCAAACTTTCTTGCATTTTCCCTCTTAATTGATCCAATTGTTCAAGAATCTGGTTTCCAATGCGGCTCAAGATTTCAGCTGTTGGTATTGGTCCATTCTCAGGGTTTCAATTACATGATACTTCATTTTTATTGCGTTATTGCTCGCGAGCTTGTGTGTTATCGCTTGTCTCGGTGTAGCCGTTGGCTCGAGTGTGGTTCACTATTTTTTTTTTCTTTCTGTTCATAGTACAAGGTGAGGCATAAGTTTGAGTCTAATTATAGAGGCAATTCTCAAGGGTAATCAACTAATCTTAAAGTTATGGTTTAATTATCCTACGGTGTGTAAAGCAATAAGATCAAGTAGTAAATAACAAATCTAGGGAAGCACACAACACAACTTCACATATATACATATAGGCAAAATAAAAACTACAAGACTTTGAAAACTAGATTAATAAAAGGAAAATATGAAGTGGAGATGAAATAATATTATAGTAATTGCATCAATTAATACAAGGATCGTCGGAAATACGGATGGGTTATGATTTAAGATTTTTATGTGGTCAAGGTATAGAGATGGTGACTAAGTTAGATATTTAACTTGAAACTGCGTCGGCCATCCGCGTTTCAAACTGAATATCCAAGATTCATCACCGAATGAAGAAATTGCAACTTTCAGAAAAATTCTCGTACAAGATAACATAATCAAGGCACAAGGTTGTCAATCTAGCAAATGGTATACTTGAAAAATGCAAAGTAAGACCAGATGGTAATGACTTCACCTTGAAAGTGAACAACATCAAACATGGTTACAAATATGAAATGAGGGTATGACGATCGATAGAAGACTCGTAGAAATAATAGTATCTCCTACTTCTAAATTGTATCTAGTGTTAAACATGTTGCCCTATTCAAAGTTTAAACCACTTCCCTTTGTAGGTGATCGTCAAATTGTTTGAAGTCAAAACGCGTGGGTAAGGGTTGAACCTAAGCTCTGATACCATTTTGTAACGCCCCAACTTTCGAGCCATTAAATACGCACAATAATACAACGCAAGTAGGATAGATAACGAGAACATCTTAATATACATATATAACCAGAGTTAATATCACAGATAATTCGTTTATGTTCCATTACAGGATTACCAAAACATTGCCAAACCAAAAGTCAAAAGGAAAAAAAAAAAACAACTAGTCTTAAGTCTTCAAATGAACCACAACTCCAACACTTTATCCCAACTTTCGAGCCGTTAAATACGCACAATAATACAACGCAAGTAGGATAGATAACGAGAATATCTTAATATACATATATAACCAGAGTTAATATCACAGATAATTCGTTTATGTTCCATTACAGGATTACCAAAACATTGCCAAACCAAAAGTCAAAAGGAAAAAAAAAAAACAACTAGTCTTAAGTCTTCAAATGAACCACAACTCCAACACTTTATCTTGTTTGCCTTCGAAATAACCTTCACCATTGTAAACTGCTTCATCACCTGGCATGACACACCATGAGCTTGGAATGTCCAGTAAAAACACACACACCCCCATATCTTCTATCAACCAATCAACCATACACAGAACAAAATAGGTAACATAACATACAATATTACAACAAGGGTCTATGAATTAGTAGTTAGACTAGACATCTAGAATCCCCCAAAGAGATCCTTCTACCCAACCACAAGGATTGAACACCGGACTATTCAGAACTCCCTCTTTTGCTGCTTTGCAAACCTTACCACCTATGCCCACCTCCTGGTTATTTACCGGTCAGTGACATTGATGGACCTCAAAAGGGACAAACAAACAAGTGGGCTCACTTACACCCTGCACATACCATACCAAATCATGCCTAGGGCTCGCTTACACCCTGCACATATCATACCAAAGGGCTTGCTTACACCCCGAAACCACCGCATAGAGTCTGAATACATCCGTGTCAACCTAGGGGCTCGCTTAGACCGCTTGCGCAAGACTTAACTCATTTGGTTTTAATCCCATCATAATTCATGCCATTCATATGTATAAATTATTCCAACACTAATGTGAACGTCACCCATTGCCAACCCCTTATCATTTCCCATTTATTGGATCTTTTGCCGAGCAAGTTAGTCACATTCGGTAATTCGGTAATATAAAAGAACATGAGACAAACATAAGAGAAGAAATATAGCCCATGATAAGCATACAAAAGTATGGTAAGGCAAGCAAATAACATTAGGCATGCTTTGAAATACTTAGAGACAAATAACACAATAAAACACCATTTCCAGCACAGTTCGGTTCTGCAGGGCTAACAAGAATTCTTTGGGAAAAATACTTCTAGGTCAAATTAGGGGCTGAAATTTCACAGAAATAATAATTAACCTGTCTAGTTTCAATTCCAATTCTCAGAATTTGCACAGCACCTCCCGAAATTCATCTACAAGCTATATTCAAAAACCTGTCCAGATTTGTTACCCTTTGGAAAAACTAGCTTTCCTCTCAATCTACCCAATGATTTTCACCCAAATAAATTCCATTGGAAAGAGGACTCAGAATTCTAAGTTTTGACAAAAGAACGAACATGAGATGATTTTTATGGAATTTTATAAAATTGAAAGAAGGGGCCTGTTTTTCAGAGACTCGGGACCAGATTTCTAAATAAAATATCCAAGCCCTAAAAACACATAATTAGGGGCTAGTAAAATTATCACAAGCTCTAAACACACCAAATAGCCTACACTAAATTTAGATTTGAAAAATAAATAGGTTTGATATTTCTTTTAAAATAGAGAATTTGCAGCAGTACATAATTTGGAAAATTTGTAAGGCAAAGTCACTAAATCAAACCCACACTTTCATACACATCAAAAAACCTATATACCATTAATATGCAACACAAGAGGGTATCTAGACAATAGGATGAGATGGGTGAAAGAATTGGAGAAGACATGGAAGGGTGTGTTCTTACCTTGACCCTAGAAGGCACCATTTTCTTCCTTTTCTTTTCTTCTTTTTCTTTTCTTCTTCTTCTCTACTTCCCTCTAATCACACTCTCCTTCTCTCACCCTCTCCTTGGCTGCTGGTATGTGTGTGTGTGTGTGGAATTGTGACAAGGCTCCTAATTTATAGGAAATAAGCTTGGTCCTAGCTTAATGACTAAGGAAGCATAAATATCTAGATATTTTTTTATTTTGTTTTTCAATCAATTTTCCACCAAAATATTATTTGTGACACCTATGTACATAATCAAATAAATAATATTCTATTCAAATAAATAATATATATTCAAATAAATAATAAATAAAAGAACAACAAAAATAAAAATAAAAATAAAAATAAAATGTATGAATTAATTTATAAACTAAGAGGTAAATAAATAAAAACCAAGTTTTAGGGTATTTCCAATTATAAGGTGGTGTTCTCGGTTTAATTTTGATAATATACAGGAAAATTATTCTTTATTGGGCCATTTTGCAGACTTTTACAAAACTAGGTGCTGAAATGCTATTAAACTAAGGCTCAGGGTTTCATGTGTAATTACCAAAAATTAGGGTCTCTACATGAAGTATCCGTGCTTCATAGCATACATGTCAACATTTATTCATACATGAACAATGCTACTATGCACCTCTTCTATCAGAAAGTTATGAATTTTTATGATACAAGTTTTGAATCAACGATTTTTATGGTGTGTACTTCGCAAGTGAAAGTTACAAATTATTTTAGTTATGTTATAACCATATAATATAATATCATGTTATAAGCCATTTGTAGAATCATTTTGGTTAGGAAAGTTATGATATATTCTAGTGTTTGTTATGAAATTTATGATTATATTACATATTTTGTTCAGCACATGAATTTTTTTACCGCTACGGTTCATTTTTTATTATTATTTATTTTAATCTAAAATGCTCTTCAATGTTTGTTATTTATTATGATTCATATTGTTTTTTTGTTTTACAGCTAATTTGGGCTCTCAGTTTCAAGACACACCAATGATTTTTGACCTCGACGAGTTGCATTTTTTTACTGAGGATTTCAGCCACAAGCTAGGTCAGGGTGGATTTGGAAAAGGGTACAAAGGAAAAATTTTTGAACAAAACATCAATTAGCTAGCCAAACAAGAGATCGCTGTCAAAGTATCCAAGGACAGACAAAGTGAAACCAGGAAAATATGGACGATATGTGTTTTAATATTGTTTTCATCATTATTTCAATTTGGTTATGTTGTTCTAATATTGTTTTAATATTTTTTTCATCATTATTTCAATTTGGTTATGTTGTTCTAATATTGTTTATATTGATTGACAGGCTGAGGTGCAATTCTTGTCCATTTGCAGCCACCACAATGTGATCAGGTTGATTGGCTATGCGGAGGATGCTGATAACGACAAATTGTTGCTCGTATATCCATTTTGCCCTCTTGGCTTCCTCCGTGACAATTTGGATGGTATTTCGTTATCATTATTCACAATTTTTACCTACAATATTTTGCTCTCTCTCATATATTGGCACATCTAGTATGTTCTCACTAAGGGCATCTTTATGGATTGAATGATGTATAACAACTACTCACTGATTTTCGCTGATAAAAAAATAGACGGTTCACTTAAAAAAATAATTTTTTAATGATATTTTGATGCCATTTATTAATTAAGGTAAATTACTTTCGTAGTCCTTATACTTTATTTCTTGTGTCATTTTGATCCTTATATTTTCAATTTCCATGATTTTGACCTTCACTTTTTGATTGTGTCTCATTTTGGCCCAATCAATAACTTCTATTAGAAAATTTAATAGAAAATCATCATTTGCACAACATGTGACCAATCTTGAGGGGGAAAACAGACATTTCAATCTTATCCCTTCCCTTAAGCATCTCTTCAACATCCACCACCACCATGTGCTCCTCCTCTACCGTCCACTGTCCGTGCCATCACCACACATCACTGCCATCTCCACCAAACAAAAATAAAACCAAATCAAAAATCAAAAATAAAATTAAAATCAAAATCAAAATAACAAAGCAAAGGGATATGCCGTTGGCTGATTTCACCATCCGTCGTTCGTTATCCTTTGATGATTATAATTGTCATATTCAGATCTCACATGCTGTGGATTTCACCGTCGCTTAACATGGTTTCCTTGTCTTCTATCATCGTGATCACCATTGCAATTGAGATTTGCATCTCTATCCCTCTTCTGGTTCAACCACAATACCCCCTCCCTCAGTCCCTCCTCTATCCTATCTGATACCTTTTTTTCCTCCTAGCATCTCACCACCCCCGGTATCCTCCCTCTTCATTTCGCCTCCCCCAACAGTAGTGGAGCCAATTTCACTTCAAGCATATGTCTAGAGATAAAATCGCAATTTCAATATAAATTATTGTTTTTTGATTTGTTTTAGGTAACCGTGAGAGGTGGTTTTACAATTCTCCTTCACTCCAAACATGCGCTTGAAAGGTCCTTGCTCCAACACCTGAAACAAGAAAATACATGAGAGGGTGATTTATGCTCCGGCGTTGGGCCGAGGTATAAACCGAACAGGTTGGGGGCCCAGCAGAGCAGTGGGCCAAACAAGAAAATACACTAGTCGGGAGGTGCCAGAATTAGCACTCCAACAAGTAAGTTAGTCTTCTCAAGAGAGGAAAAAGTGTTTATATTTTTTGAAGTGTTAATTATCAAAAACATACCTTCTTATTCACACATACCTTCCTTTTGTAAAGACATTTCCATAGATGTTTTCTTCTGTAGTTTTTGATCATTGCCATGTTAGAGTCGATCCTTTTACTATACTTCTAGAAAGGGACAACTTGGGCCCACTTAAAGTGGAATATCATACTGACTTCCCTTATATACTCAGCCCTAATGCACCAGCTTTGTATCTTGTACTCGGCATGTACTTCAGCCTATTTGGATTTACTCAGCAATGAATTGCTTGAGCCCAATAGGCCTTTGTCTAAATTTGGTCCATTAAAGATGGGCTTGGATGTTTCCTATTTTCCGATTAGGAAGTTCATTTATTCGGCTCCCATAATTGCCCTCCGAGCACCTGGCTAACCACAATTTTCGAGTGGCCTATGTGCTCGGCTCTCATTAGGCTAACTATTTGGCTATTTTTGACAAACTTGGCCTACACTTGATGAGCCTTACAATCTAGACGCGTGATGGACACGCCATTTCACTTCTGGCATGATGGAAGGGACCCGATGAAGAATATGTGAAGCTTCCCGCCTCTTCAAACTCCCTTCTTACTCCTTGTTAATTGCGATTTCAAAATCCGTCTCCTCTGTCCTTTCACTTCTAAAAAGACTCCACTTCCACAATTCCTCACTTCTATCCTTTCATTTGGAGTTGCTTCACAGTCGTCATCGCTTGAGCACTCTTCATCCATATCTATAAGTCCTCTAAGCTTTTTCTTTTGTTTCATTTTTGTAGTTTACATCTTCGACTCCATCCTCCCTCTATTTCACATTCTGCTTTTGACTTACCCATGGTGAACTACCTAAAAGCCCACATTTATGAGAATAAGGTTACTTTTTTCAGTCTCCGCTTCGCAATCCCGAATGACATTCAACTGGAACTCATTGGGGATGCTATGCGAGCACCATTGTTCTTCCATTATTGGCGATTACTGAAGGTGAAGTTCATTTTCGTCTCTATCCTTTGCCCAGATCCATTATTCGCTTCTAGGGGCTAATTTTTTCCCAACTAAACGTCAATTTCTATCGGATTATCATGGGAATTGTAGAACTCAATTGTTGACTTAGTGCAAACCTAGGAATCTCTACTATTCGGCATTGTTACACCTTTGCCAAATCCTTCAGTCGGCAAGGACGATTCTTCTTGAGGGCCAAAGATGCTGACCACCAATTGGTGACTATGCTTACTAGTTCAAGAAAAAATGTGGATGATGTTATGGTCCTCATCTAAGGTAATTGGGAATTTGGCACGGAAGAGGACTACTCAGACCCCATTCTTAGGCAGAATGGTGAACCAGGTGGCAGAGTAGTTGCTAATTAGTTTTAATACTATTTAGCCTTCCATTTATAGTGCTAACTATTTTCTTCTTGCAAGTCACGATCTCAAGAAAACTCTTACTTCAGTGAACAAAGCCGTTCTCGTCCAAGTCAGGATTGTCCTTGATTATACTAGTTGAAAGAATTTTTAAGGCCATGGATGTGTTGCCCACATCCTACTAAAGTAATATCCTACCTACTCCACTTTTTCTGCTGCTAATCACGTGCCAATCCCCAAAGGTGAACGACAACTTGCAATTCTTGTTTTTGAAAGTTACGTCAATTTGAGAGACATAGGTGTGGGTGAATCATCAGATAGTGAGAATGGCGAAGAAAATGCCGAGCAATAAGTTGGGCAATTTGAGCAAGATAGCGATGATCAAGATGCGAATGATTAAAACACTAAGAATAGAGGACTTGGTCCGGCTATTAAGGAAGTCGATATTGGAGAAACTAGCAGCTCAAACCGAGATCTAGAGTTCGTGCCTTCTCCTATTCGAATGGCTAAAGATACTCAGGAGGCTGACATCTTTTTTAACTTGGAAGATCTCCCAGGATCTGGAACTGAAGAGATGGCTGGCAAAGCACTTTCTTTTGCCCAATTTTCCAAGCAAAGAAATGCCGAGAGGCTAGTGGTAAAGAAGTTGGCAGCTGCCAATGATAGCTGAGAGGCTCCTACATCGGCGGTGACTCGGACAGAAGAGGTCACCGAGCATGCTGTCCCCTCAAAATTGGTACAACAAGTTCCTGTGGTGACAGTTGAAGAAACTGGGGCTGACCAAAAGGGCTCCAAGCGTCCTGCGGAGTCCATTCAACCAGCTGCGCAACTGGTTGAAAAAAGGTCACGGGCCTCACCTGCACTTGATCTAGCGGCGCAATTCCCAATCCAGCCTAAAGTAAAGGGAGCGCTCATTCCGATGTGTGCTTCGGCTGTCAAAGAGCCTGGAGTTGCTATGAGTATGGCTACTGTCATCACTCTTCCATCAGATAAGGCAATGTTCCGTGCCGAGTAGGACATTGTGTCCATTGCTGCGGTCGCTTAATCGGCAATTTTGGTAAGTTGGGTCATTAACAAGTGTAGGTTCTAGTTTAATTTGACTA